TGAGTGAAGTAAGCAGAACCAAGAGGACTTGGTATACAATAGCAGCCACATTATGCAATGACTAAGAATGTTAAACTGAACCCTTCTCAGCATTACGAGGATCTAAGACATCTCCAGAGGTCTCGGGATGGAAAATGCTGTCCATATCCAAAGAAAGAACTATGGAAGTCGAATCGCTCTCACTTATTTTTACCTTCAGTTGAGTTTTGTTTCATCTTTCTGATGGTTCCTCCTATTGGTTTTAATTTTTACTTACAACTTCACTAATGTAAAAATATATTTAATGGGTATGTAAATGTAAAGCCTATGTCAGATTGTACGCCATCTTGGGGAGGGTGAGGGGGGGAGAAAAAGGGAGAAAAAATTTTCAACTCAAAAGCATATGGAAAAAAAAATTAAAATAAAAATAAAAATAAAATACTTCCTTAAAAATTAGAATAGAGCAATTGGAAGATAGTGACTTTATGAGAAATCAAGACATTGTAAAACAAATCCAAAAGAATGAAAAAATAGAAGACAATGTGAAATACTTCATTGGAAAAACAACTGACCTGGAAAATAGATCCAGGAGAAAGAATTTAAAAGTTATTGGACTATCTGAAAGCCATGATCAAAAAAAGAGCCTAGACATCATCTTTCAAGAAATTATCAAGGAAAACTGCCCTGATATTTTAGAACCAGAGGGCAAAATAGAAATTGAAAGAATCCACCAATCTCCTCCTGAAAGAGATCCCCAAAGGAAAACTCCTAGGAATATTGTAGCCAAATTCCAGAGTTCCCAGGTCAAGGAGAAAATATTACAAGCTGCCAGAAAGAAACAATTCAAGTATTGTGGAAACACAATCAGGATAACACAAGATTTAGCAGCTTCTACATTAAAGGACCACAGGGCATGGAATATAATATTCCAGAGGGCAAAGGAGATAGGATTACAACCAAGAATCACCTACCCAGCAAAACTGAGTATAATCCTTCAGGGGAAAAAATGGTCATTCAGTGAAATAGAGGACTTTCAAGCATTCTTGATGAAAAGACCAGAGCTGAATAGAAAATTTGACTGTCAAATACAGACTCAAATGGAACATGAAGAGGTAAACAGAAAAGAGAAATCATAAGAGACTTTTTAAGGCTGAACTGTTTACATTCCTGCATGGAAAGATGATATTTATAACTCATGAGACTTTTGTCAGTATTAGGGTCGTTGAAGGGAAAAAAATATATGGATAGACAGACAGACAGATAGATAGATAGATAGATAGATAGATAGATAGATAGATAGATAGATAGAGGGCACAGGGTGAGTTGAAGATTAAAGGGTCATATCTGGAGAATAAAATTAAGGGATGAGAGAGGATTATACTGGAGAAGAAGAAAGGGAGAGGTAGAATGGGGTAAATTATCTCAAAAAAAAAAACAGAAAAGAAAAGGCTCTTACAGTGGAGGGGAAATGGGGAAGGTGAGAGGGAATGAGTGAATCTTATTCTCATAGGATTTGGCTTAAGGAGGGAATAACATACACATTCAATTGGGTATGGAAATCTGTCTTACCCTACAGGAAAATAGGGGAGAAGGGGACAAGAGAGCAGGGGATGATAGAGGAGGGCAGATTGGGAAAGAGGGTAATCAGAAGAAATACTTCTGAGGAAGGACAGGGTCAAAAGAAAGAATAGAATAAATGGGAGGACAGGATAGGATTAAGGGAAATAGAGTTAGTTTTTCACAACATGTCTGCTATGGAAGTATTTTGCACTTGTATAACCTATATTGAGTTGCTTGCCTTTTCAATGAGGGTGGGTGGGGAGGGAGGAAGGGAGAAAATTTGGAAGCCAAAGTTTTAAAAACATATGTTAAAAAAAAATGTTTTCATAAGCAACTGGGAAATAAGAAATACAGGAAATGGGGTACAGAAGTCTATCCTGCCCTACAGGAAAATAGAAGGGGAAGGGGATAAGAGAAGAGGGGGAGAGACAGAAGAGAGGGCAGACTAGGGGAAGGGATATTCTGAATGCATGCCATCTTGGGGTGGGGGGAGGGGGAGATGGGGTGAAAATTTGGAACTCAAAATCTTGTGGTAGTAAATGTTGAAAACTAAAAATAAATAAATTTATATTTAAAAAAATATTCATCATCGTAATTACACACGCACACACACACACAAAAGAGTCCAAGCTTCTATCAGAAACGAAAACTCAGATTCTGAACACCAGCAGTCTTCCGGCGTTGTTACAGGGCTGCCAGTCTTAGTGTACTACAATACCCACAGAGCAGTGGAGCATAATGAGGCTGCCACAAGAAAGCTGCAGAATATCCCTAACACGCCGTGCGGCTTGTGTTCTTGGTTCAGAAGACACGGAAGAGTTAAAGAGGATGAGGTGAGGATGGATTGTAATCTGTACCACTGGAATGTGAACACCTAGATCTAGTGAACAACCCACGCTTTCACACAAACTCGACTCCCAGACTTTATACAAAACTCCTAAAGATTTTAAGTGACCTACCATGCTTGTCTCAGTTTCTCTAGCTGAACAAAATCATTCCTTCATCACGCCTCTAGGCTAAGCCTTAAAGTCCTTAAGTGATCCCTACATGCAAGAAAATTCCTGAGGAGTCAAGACAAATTTCCCTTTTTTTCTTCCCACAAGTATTATTTACCTACAGAGGCAGCTAGCTAGCACAGTGGATGGCAGTTAGGATTGTTGTTGTTTGTCCTTCACTCTGGAAGAGGACCATGGCATCAGGAAGGTGATGCCATGACTTGCAAGGAGTCAAGAAGACCCGAGTTCAAATGCAGCCTCAGATACTTACTCACTGTATGACACTGAACAAGTCACTTAACCTCTGTTTGCTTCAGTTTCCTCAACTCTAAAATGGGAATAATAGTACCTACTTCCCAGGGTTGTTGTGAGGATCAAATGAGATAATATTTATAAACAGAATAGCACAGTGTTGGACACATAGTAAGCACTTAATAAATGTTTCCTTTCTTCCTACGACATATATGAGTGCATATATGACATTATATTACTAAGTCTGAATGCAGAATATTCATCGTTCCAACTATAAAGTGGACAAAATTCTTGTTCGTGTTCCTCAAATAAACTCTTTGGAAAATGTGCTTATATTTACCTTCATTCCTGACAAGCCATGACACAGGTACCATTCTAGCAGCTTTATGGACAGATAGCTCAATAGAATATCACTCAGTTTTTGTAGTAGGGTAAAAGCAGAGGCAATGACTGCTTACCCAATCCAAACAAAACCATACCTGAAATGTTCTCCCATCTTCAATTCACACAGTTTAAGTTTAGACTTAAACAACAACAATAAACAAAATGGCCTGGAAAATTCAATTCAAATGAACATTTATTAAGTGCCTTACTATGTGCCAGGCACATCTCTAGGCATTGGAGATACAATTAAGAAAAAGACAGTCCCTGCCCTCAAGGAGCTTACAATCTAATGGGGCAAGATGACCCATAAAAGGAAGCTGGAAAGTGGTGGGACTGGGGGGACAGAGGACACCAGGGGAGGCCCAGCTTGAAGCCAAGCAGAGATGCACATAGAAAGTGGGGAGTGAACTGAAAAGGCCACATCCAGACTTCTGGAGGAAAGCTCCAGGAGGAGCTGAGGGCAGCCTCCATTCCTCCAATCGGGGGGGGGGGGGCAAGGAGGAAGAGGCCACTGGAGATGGGGAGGAGCCTGAGGAGCCACGGCCCAGTTAACAGCCCACTCTGGAGAAGGTGCTCTCTTCTCCCAGGCTCCTCCCCTGACCAGAAGGCCCTGGGGATGGAGGGAGTGGGGCAAAACCTTCTTTACCAAACAGCGTCATTGGTTTGGGGCATTCTTCTCTAGGCTCAGAAATTCATGTGAAGATCAGGGCCATGAGTAAACTCCTCATGAGATAGCTTTTAGCTTGGGATGTTTATGCTCCTCATAAAAAGCCTAGATATCATTTTTAAAAGTAAGATTTTAAAAATAGTTTTTAAGGAAAAAAATTAAAGTCTCAGGGCAAAGATGAAAAAAAAGATGAACTGGAAGGAATACAACCCAATCCAACATATATTTGTTTCTTAAGTGCCTCCCAAGGACAAAATACTATGTTAGGAGCTGGAGGTAACAAAAAAAAAACAACCCCAACAATTCCTGCCTTCAAGAAGCTTACTCTCCCTTGACCAGCCTGGGGGCTCTGAACACAAAAAATTCACTGCTTCATCCTTTTGTCTCTAGGGAAGCATGAGCCCAAGAAGATAACATCATCCCTTCAAAAGTAAATTCAGCGTGGAGGCTTAGAAAGGTCTCTGTGAGGCTCCCTAATCATTTTCCTACACAGGATTCTGAACAGTCAGCCTAAGCAGGGGTGGGGAACCTGTGCCCTCGAGGCCACATGTGGCCTTGTAGGTCCTTTCATGCGGCCTTCTAGGTCCTTCTATGCGGTCTTCTAGGTCCTTCAGAGCAGCCTTTTGACTGACTCCAAGTTCTACAGAACAAATCCTTTTATTAAGGGGATGTGTTCTGTGAAGTTTGGGTTCAGTCAAAGGGCTGCCCTTGAGGATCTAGAGGGCCATGAGGCTGCAGGTTCCCCACCTAACTGAGCCTGAGTTCTCGCCTGTTCCCAAATGCCAGCACCTGCTGGTCTTACCATGGAGTGTGAAGAGCTAACTAACACTTATCTGATGTTCTAAGGCTTCCAGAGGGCCCTCCTACCCACAGCTTATAAGGGAAGTAGGGAAACATCATTTCCCAAGTCTGAAAGGACTGATGGACACGTCCAGACCCACATGGCCAGGGTTCCATCCCCAGTTTCCTGATCTCAAGAGCAGCATGGTCTCCGTGACGTCACGTTGCTTTCTGCCCACAGCGACAACACAACCACACAACACAGAGCGAAGGACACCCTCCCCCCGACTGCCCTAACAGCCTAAGGAACTTCTCTGAGCAAACCCGAAAAGGAAATTCCAGGCTAAGAAACGGGAGACCAGTCAAGAGGGGCAGTTACTTACGCAGCCACAAGACTCTGGTCCACCATTAAAGAGGGTGCAGACTATCCTCACAATCTCCGCCTCCATCTTCCGAACCCCCGGAAAGACTTCTGGATGTAACGGATTGCTCCATGCAAAATCCCCATAAACCTGCAAAGAAAGGCAGCTCAGCACCTAAGGCAAGAGGGGACCATTCCAGGAAGGACATTGAACCGTGCCAAGGGACGGCTAGGCAGGCCCAACCATCCGTCTGGTTACTCAGGGAGGCCCCAAAAGTACCGCACAAAGGAGGAGGGGAATTCATCCTGAAAATTTTGTTTTCCAGCTTGTGTAAAACAGGATCTGTGGAAACCGTAATTGGGCTTTCACAACTTTTCATCTTCTTCGAACTGCTCACTTTCAAGCTTACCATGAACACAAAACATGCCCCTCTACTCCCTAACATCCATCTAGGCCATCACACAATTAACCCTCTCTTCCTTTCTAAGCCACTAATCTCTAGCCTGATCACTGCTAACTCTGACAAATCATTCCCAGGATTTAGAAGTTCAGTGTTGAATGTTTCCAAAACTCTGTTCTCTTTGAAACGGGATACGTATCACACGGTATTTGGTGTGTTGACATCTCCCCTAAAGTAGACGTCATTTACCTTTACAAGAAGTTCAGTGAGTTTTTCATCACCGCTGTACACTGTCCCAGAGACTTTCCCATCTTGCCAGTGTGAATTTCCTGAAAAAACAACCCCCCAGCCACAAGTTAACGTCATTTGGTGCCTCATCAGGCACTGATATGATACCTAAAGGAAGAGGGTTTGTTTCCAATAAAAGCCAAGGAAAAAAACTATCCAGGAAGAAATCTAGCCTAGAATAAGGAAAGAACAGTTGTGAACTGAATGGCAGGTCTATATCAAATTAAGAGGCTAAAGATTTCAACAATGATTTATCAACCAATCAGTGTTACTCAAGCACTTACTATGTGCTAGGCCATGTGCTCAGCACTGCAGAGATAAAGCATAAAGTGAACCAGTCCCTGCCCTTCAGGAGCTTGCACTCTAAAGGAGACACGTGCACACACAAGTGGATACAAAACACACACTAAACGGACACGAGGTAGTTTGAGCCGAGGGAGATGAAAAAAGACTCCCTAAAGAAGGCGGAGTTTGAGCTGAGCCTTATGCGAGACGAGAGAGTCAGAGGGAGGCGTGAGGAGGGGGGCACTGGTGCAAAGGCACTAAGACGGGTGAGGGAACATCACGTCTGTGAAACAGCAAGCAGAGCAGGGGGACTGGAGCCCGGGGGGGGAAGGGCCAGCCTGGAAAGGGCTCTGACGGTCAAACAGAAAGACCTATTTTTGATTCTCAAGGCAAGAGGGAGCCACTGGAACGTATTGGGGGAGGTGACACGATCATACTTGGGCTTCAGGAAAATCCCTCTGAGAGTGGTAGGCAGGGAGATTCTGGCGACCAGTGAGGACAGTCCTCCAGGATGGCGGCTGTGTGAGTGGTGTACGCTGGAGACGCCGTGCAAACGGATGACAAGACGTGGCATCTGATTGGAAATGGCAGGCGGGTAAGAGCAAAGAGTCAAGAGTGACCAGGAGGCTGTGAACCTGGTGACTGGAAGGATGGTGGTACCCCCCCACAGTAACAGGAAACTTAGGAAGAAGAGTTGGTTTGGTGGAATGACAAGGGGCTCTGCTTTGGACGTGCTGAGTTTGAAATGCCCATGGGACATCAAGTCTGAAATGTCCAGTAGGCAGTTATACAGGAGTTGAGGAGGTCACCAAGAGAAAGAGAAAAAAGAGAAAAAGGCCAGAACAGAGCCCTGAGTACCCCCAGAATTAGGAGGCACGGCAGAAAAGTGAGTCAAGAGAAAGACGTGTCCGGAAGAACCACAAGAGCAAGTATCCAGGAGAAGCTGGTCAGCAGTTTCCAATGCAACGCAAAGGCCCAGGAAGGGTAAAGGCTGAGCTGAGGCCACCCGGTGTGGCGACGAGGAAATCGCTGGAAGCTTGACAGAGCAGGCTTGGCTGGCTGGCTGTTTGAGATCGGATCTCCCCACTGACCAGGCGGGAAGCGCAGAGGCTACATGTGTGGGCCAGTCCCAATCACCAACCGCTTTACCTCACATCCAGAAAACTGGCAAAGACAAAAAAGGATGGAAATAGTCCTGGAGGGCCTGTGAAAAGGCAGGCACATGGATGCACCGTACGATCATTCTGGAAAGCAATCTGCGATTCTGCTAAAACATGTAATGGAATATTGCTGTGTCGTAAGAAAGCACGAATAGGGAGGCCCAAGAAGCATGAACAGGACTGTGCAAAGTGAAGTCAGCAGGCCCAAAACGACAGCGTACACAATGACTACAACAATACAAAGAAAGGCAAAAAAGGAGCATTAAACGCTGCATCATTTCTGACCTGGAGGGAAGAACATGCCTCCCTCCTCCTGGCAGAGGTGCAGAAGTGCACCTCCCAACAGGGCCTGGGCTGTCAGACCCCGCTGACGGGTTTGGTTCGATGGCCTTCCCCTTACCCCCTTTTGGTTTGTTGTTATTTTTAATATGGGGTGCTCCTTGGCTAGGGGACGGAGGAGAGATAACATTGGAAATGAAGGGACGTAAAAACTAGGGATATAGCAATAACCATTTTTAAAGGTGATAGAAGAATGTATGTATCCACATAGTTATAGAGTCTGTCACCCAAATAAACAAGGCCCATTGGCAGCCAATGCTCTTTGCTGAGACTAGCCAGGCAAACAGAAGGAATGACTTTTGCTTCTCATAAAAAATCTGCCAAATACCCGTCTGATAGCTATCTTCCCCCAGGCAGTGCCTCTTAACCCACAGTCTAAGAAGCGAGGAAGGGGTTGCTAGTGGAAAAGGTTTAAGAAGCCCTGCCCTAGAGTACACTGCTTTTGTGCTGTGCCAGTCTTTATACCAGGGCTCAGTACCATTTCAAGTGAGGTGGCTCAGATTCTGACCCCTGTTCTTACTCCTTGGGTAAGGTGTGTGGAATGGGGAGCAGGGAGTATAAACATGTTGGCACTCTTAAGGGGTGATATAACACCAAGGAGTAACCTGAGAAAGCACAAAAAGAGGAGCATGGCCCATGCCACTAAAAATCATTCTTATGCCTTAGGTCATCGAACCCTGCTTTATATACCATAAACATTTGGAGGCTGGCCTGCCCCTAATTTTATACTTTGTAATATATACTACCAAGCACTCTCAAAATATACTGATGATTAATTTTTAATTTTTATATTAATTTTTAAAAATTCTACTTTATATACGCCCACATGAATTTTAATGGTCCATAAGGTTTTAAGTCCCAATTGTTTGTTGCTGGAATCTAAATTTAAATGCCCCTTAGATAGGGGAAATGCAATTTGGAAATATTTGATCCAGCCTTTGAGAAAAAGGGAACTGCAGTATAAACTAATGAGTCCTGACAGCACAAGTTCCAGCTCTGTGGCCCTCCTTGACCTGTGGACACTGACAGTCACCATTCAGAGGAAGTGCGTATTATGCATACACACAGACTCGTACCCAGGGCACTGTAGTCCTTGAGCCTCTCCAGAATGTCAGATGTGCTTAAACCTTCAGCTGGCAGGTTTTTCACATACTCCTTGTCCACTTTCAGGAATGACAGATTCTTGACGATGTCTTCCCTGGCCTTGTTCAATCTCTCTCTGATCTGCCAAGAAGGAAAGGACACACAATCAACAACCAGAATGGAAAAAAAAAATGAGTGTAGTGTCAGGATAAAAACACTTACCCTGGGGCCTGACGCATGTTTTCACAAACGAAAGGGAAGTGGCCAAGCTGTCAGACTCTGCTTCCTGGGCGTACAGAAGCCTGAAACAGTAACCTTCTAGAGCTAAAGAGATCTAGGGACAAAGGTACTCTTATCGCACATCCCCACTGGTGAATGTAGCTTCTTTGCTGAGGTCGGCACTTCTTGAAGGGTGACAATTTCACCACAGTCTTGTGAACAGCGAGAGCCCGATGAAGAGTCAGTGACAGAATTGTGAAGAACATCCAGGAAATGGGTCAGCTGGTGATGGGAAAGTCTCCACTTAGGCAACAATTTTCCTTCTATCACAGCAGTGGCAGCATGAGAGCAACTGGGGAGTTTGGGGTTTGCTTGGGGGGCTGGAAAGGACTGAAGCTTGGCCAGTGAGAGTGAATGCTATAGCTCCATTCAGGGGCTGGGTTTGCAGGCTCCTTCCCCACGATGGAAACCTTCTGCCCTGGAGTCTGTAGCTAATCTGCCCCGAGACACTACAACCATGCTACACCCTCTATCTCCACCAAGCATCCTTTGCAAACGCCGGATCTGAGCCTGGATCTGCTACCACATAAGGAGGCACTACTCAGTCCGTACTTCAAACAATAACAACAAATTCTTGCAGAAGTAAAGGGCATCTGGACACCAAGCCCTTTGCTTTCCAGAAATGGGACTGTGGCTCCAATCAGAAGCCCAACATACGTTGAACATACAGAGTATCTGACTGTGCACCATCCTCCGCCATCTTGGGAAGAGATAAAAGAATTGGTGCCAAATGTGAATTCTGCCAGGCCCCAAGAGCCCCAATCCCCAGACATTTACTGATCTGGAAAGCAGGCTGATTTCCTTTCTTAGGCCCCCTTACGATCAGATTTGCAACAATGCGGACCCAAACTCCTCGTTTCCTAGATCACACCCTCAGATGATCAAATATGCTAAGAGGTGTGTTTAAGGTCACCCAGGTAAGGAAGCAGTAAAGCCAGAATTTGGACCCAGGGCCCAATCCAGCGCCCTTTTCATTATCATCACACTACTTCTGCTTCTCTGGTGTTTGCAAGAAAACATGTTGATCCCTCCCTACCTCAGCCCAGGATCACTTTGAGGGGGAATCCCAATCAAACGGTACTTTCCTATCACATGACTAACAAACTCTCACAACCTCTTTTGCTAACTCTTGATTCAGAATCACCAGCTGCCTAAGAGAGTCCCTTCAGAGAGTGCCTTCACCCACCCTCTCATTCCCATTCCATCAACGCCCTTCTAATATTGCGCCCTTTGCAAGCCCCATTCTCAAGTCCATAAACTTAGGAAGCAGATCTCTTTCTTTTCCCTCTCTCCCTCTTCCTTCAGCCATAACTTCACCCTTGAGGCTAAGTGTGAAAAATCCATTTGGTGCCTTCCTCCCTGCCTGTGTAATGGGAGAAGAGCACCTGGAAGTACAAGGGTCCTTAGACATCGCCTAGTCTAAATCCCTCATTTTACAGACGTGGAAACTGAGGCCCAATCAATGAGCAAGATTAATCAGATGTCCCTGCACCAGGCACCAAGAATACAAAGACAAATGCCCCCAAAAAGCTTTCACTCCATCAGGGAGACAAAAGGTATGTGTCCAAGGACGCCCAAAACAAAGAGCGGGCAGTAGCAGCTGGGGAAAATCAGAAAAGGTTTCTCCCAAAAGGCTGCATATGAGCTCCCCGGGCTTCTAAGAGGCAAAGATGGCGAGCAGCACATTTCTGGCATGCAAGACAGCCCGCACAAAGGCCCCCAAGCAGGACCAAAGGGGGCATGAAGGGAAGCGAGGTTTAAGTCTGGGAAGAAAGGCTGGAGCCACGTGGCAGAAGGGCCGAAAGCACTACAGAGCCAAGGGAGGTTCTGTACGCCAGAGGGCTGCATTTTGGCAGCTGGGTGGTGAATGGAATGGGGAGAAGAAAGACTGCAGCAGGGACGCCCATTAGGGAGCTAAAACAATGCAGTCCAAGCAAGAGGCGAGAAGGGTCTGAAGAAGGGTGGGGGCCATCTGAGCACAAAGTAAATGAGAGGTTACGGAGAGAAATTGAATGACGTGGCTGATGTCACAATTGACACTACAAGGTGGCAGAGGGGTTAGCCAACTCCAGCCTGGCAGCACCTTGCCAAGGCAGTCCACCCAAATCTTCACAACATCCAAGTGGTTCCTACTAGTCCACAACATCTCTGTCAGAGTCTGAGGCAGCACACACAGCACACTTGGCTTGCCAGAGGCTCACTTATTGTGCTGGAGAGGGCAGGGCTAAGGAGAACATGCCGTAGGCTCTCCTCTGCCCCCAGAATCCACACGTTCCGTTGTACCACTGGAAAAGATCACTGGGGTGATCTCAAGCAGACCATGATCCTCTCTGGGCCTCCAACCTAAGACTTCTTCAGGTCCACTGGGGTCTTCCCGAGAGTAACTGCAGAATTCTCTAATTAGGATCCTAGATGGTTAGAACTAAACGTAGCTACAGAATTCATCACTAAAACTAGTGGGAGATAAAAATCTTGTTTACCTTTACCTATAAAAAAGAAACACCATACAAAAGATACAAAGGTCAGCGTCTACACATGTTACTGGCCACAGACCAGAGTGCAAAGAGCGGAGTTCCTTATCTTCTTGACTATCTAAGCCAAGCAAACAGCCTATTATGGTTCAGAAAAACACCTTGAGGCCCAGACTCTGGATCTAAGAAGCTCTCCGTGCACTGGTCACACCCCTTCTTTAGAACCCTACGTATCTGGAAACTTCTTTCCTTGGAACCTCCCCAGGCTAAAAACTGCCAGTTCCCTGCCAACTTGAACCTCCCTGGTAGAACCTTATGGGTGGAAAACCATTCAGACTCTTCTGACCAGAACCTTGCCTGCCTCCACCCCCACCCCATTAAACACTTGACTTACTCAGAACCCATGAAAGCCAACAAGAGCTTAAAAGCAGGCAGGAAGGAAGGAGGGAGAGAAAGCACCTACTATGTGCCAGGCACTGTGCTACTCGCTTTACAAATATTGTCTCATTTGATCTTCATAACAACCCTGTGAGGTAATACGATTACTATCCCTATTCTACAGTTGAGGAAACAGGCAAACAGAGGTGCAGTGACCTGCCCAAGGTGTCTGAGACTAAATGTAAGCTCAGATTAAACTTTAATCCCTAACTCTAAAACTCAGCGCCCTACCCCCTGCACCACCTGGCTGCCTTACCACTCCCTGGTAGCATCCTTTGCTTTCTCTCCACTTCCCTGTTCCACTTGGGAGGTGTTAGTCCCAACCCCAGTGTGTGCATGGGGCATGGGGTGGCAGTTAATGCTTCCAGAGTACTTTTCTTTGTTGCCTCTGCCTCACCCTCCATACTCCCTTGGGGGGGGGGGGGTCTCCAGATAAGCCGCATGGCCTTTCTTTAAACAGCTGAAATAAAAGGTCTCATTGTTTAGCACTGACTGGGCCATTTGATTCTTCTGCAAAGAAATCCAAATAATTGGCCTCAACATATCCAAATTGGGCAAATATGGCCAAAACTATGGGTGCCAAATCATGAAGTGATTCCTGCCAAGTTTTCTAACTTTTTTTTAAAGGTATAAAAGCTAAAGGAAAAGATAGAGAAAAGGAAATATGACTAGAAAAAAGGACACAGACATCCAGGTCTTGTAACCAACAAGATGGAGAATTGACATTTTCTCTGATTCTTACAACCTCTAAAACTTCTCCAAAACAGGAATTCTACATGAGAGGACAAGTAAATTCAGCTGTCTCCATGACCTATAACACTAAGGGGTTAAAAGTGCAATGACCTAATAGCAGAAAAGGCTAACTCCTAACTCACTCGGCACCATGTCTCCCACTAGTCACCTCTTGGGTAACCCAATCCACAGACTTGCAATAGATCACAAATTTGCCACTCCCTTCTCCCAGAGCTGGAGAAAATCAAAAGGCAGAAGCTTGCTCAGGAAACTCTGTGATGCAATACAGCTAAGCCTAAGAAATGAGGAACACAGCAGACTGGGAAAGGACATGTATGCATATGGCTGAGGGAAAGAGCCTGGCATCCAGTCGGACCCATTTCTGTCTTCCCAGAAGTCAACTGGGGGCAGAGACTGAAGCCAGGGAAACACTGAATTGCCCAGCATGAGAGAAGCTCAAGACAGCTTTAAGGTTCAGTACCCAGAAAAACCAAAATGAAAGGGGAAAGAGTCAGAAAGTGAGCAATAAGGAAAAATAAGGAAAAAAGACTAAAATGACCAAAAGTCTCAGGAGAAAGAAAACCCAGTTAAAGACCTTGAGTAAAAGCAGATATGCCAACAGAAAAGATATTAATACCAAAAGGGAACATGATCTCCAAATAAGCTAAAAGTCCAGGCATTTACCAATAAATGTTACAAGAATAAGAAAATGAATCTATGCCAGATGAAGCAGAGGAACCTGTGGATTCCTTACAGAGCATGGAACAAAAGCATTATGTTCTCAAATAATTAAAAAGAGAAGTAAGAATTGTGAAAGAAGAACTTATGGCCTGAACAGCAGAAATAATTGACAAAACAGAAAAACCTGAACTCAGGGTGGCAAGTCAAAGAAAGAGTAATTGAGAATGCAAACATAAAGAAGTGAAGGATAACCTGGAAGAAGAAGACAAGATGCAAAGAAAAAAGTGAAAGATTTTTTTGGCTTCCAGAATAACATGACTATCAAAAAATCTGAATATTATAATGTAAGAAATAATACAAGAATTCACAGATCAGCTCCGAGGGGGGGAAAAAAAACCTACACTACAAACTTCAAGAGATACATTGGTTAAATCAAACAATCCCAGCCCTTTTTCTCCCCTCTCCTTTCTCCCTTCTCTCCCCTTCCTTTCCCTTCCCTCCCCTCTCCCTCTTCTCCCCCAATCCCATCCTTCCTTCCATCCTTTCTCCTTCCTCCTTTCCCCAGCCTAGACGATGCCATGGTGGAGACGGCCAAGGAAGCCACGGAGCCCGCCGAGGCAGACATCACGAGGCTGTGCCAGGACATGTTCTCCAAAATGGTACATACCTCACAGATGAGCTGACAGTCATGACTGAAGACTATAAACTTCTGGGAAAAAATGAACAAAGTGACTAGCTGGAAGTATCTAGCAATGAACGATATTGCAGTAAACATAAGCAGAAACCTAACAGACCTGAAGCAGAAATCTGCAGCACTTCAGCCTGATCCAGATCAGATTGCTTTAACTGAGGAGCAAGTAGAAGCCTACAGGTTGGATGTATACTCAAAGAAACTAGAAGCAAAGTACAAGAAGTTAGAGAGGCGATGAAAGAATTCTTTAGCACAAAGACTTTAACTACAAGAATGTTTCCTAAGAGCTGAAATAAGTGGGATGGAACTCATCACTATGCTTCAGTTCCTACAAGGAAGTGCTGCTGCTGATCCAAGGAGAATCCCAGCCCTCACCTCTGGCTGGATGTGTGACTTTGGCCACCCCTTGATGTTTCCTAAACCTGTAGCCCCTGGAACCTCATCTTATCGTGTGCTTCACTGTGTGCCCTGGACCAAGGCTCAGAAATCAGGATCAACTCTGTCTGCAGCAGACACAGGGGAGAGGCTCTCAGCTCCCTGTCTCCTCCCTTGCCCCCTCTCCCCTAGGGCTCCACCTCGGACTGTTATGAATGTTCCCCACCCCCTTCGTAAGCTGTTCTCCAACTTAAACAATAAATGCCGACTTATGACCCTCAAAAAAATTCTAATGACAAATAACAAATTCTACAAGTTATTACAATAAAAACCTTCAGGAAAAGAAATTCAAACACCGCACCCACCAAAAACCAAAGCAGACATAAGAATGACCAGAGCCAATGAACAAAGGAGCTCAAGATGCAACCCAAGGTAACATGCTCCACCAACCTGAGACTAACCTTTAAATGTGAACATTCAATAAAAAATAAGTGGTTGACTTCTGGTCAGGTGAGCAACAAGACTGAGGACTAGACATTTTCTCTGAACCCCTCGCCCTCTCAAACCTTTCCAAAATGGAAATTATTTGCCAAAGATAAAGAAATTTCAGCTGCCTCCATGATCTAGGACATCCATTCTGAAAAGTGATTTAAAAAAAAAAAGAACAAACCTGTGAACTGACTTTCCTGCTCCACCTACTGGACTAGCTGACCCACAGGAGATCTGGACAATACCCAACTCCATCCCCAAGTCTCCCCCCGCCCTTTTCCAGTGGAAATCTTAGCTCCAGCTGAGGGGTAGGAAGAGAGGAGTCAGGGAGGCAGGGGAGAAACCTCTGCAGGAGAGTCAGGAACAGAGGGAAAGGGGCAGGACGTGAAGGCTTTTGCTGTTGCTCAGCTGTGTCTAACTCTTCTTGACCCCACTTAGTGTTTTCTTGGCAGAGATACTGGAGTAGTTTTCTATTTCCTTCTCCAGCTCATTTGACAGATGAGGAAACTGAGGCAAACAGAGTTAAGTGACTTGCCCAGGGTCACACAGCTAGTAAGTATCTGAGGCCAGATATGAATTCAGAAAGTTGAGTCTTCCTGAGTCTAGGCTCAGCACTCTATTCAATAAGCCATCTAGCTGCCCTAAGTCAGTTCTTGAGTCTTCTATAAAGGAAGGCTTTGGGATGAGAAACTATGATGACAGCAATAAATACCTTTTTTGAAAGGGCCGAAACACTTCAAGAAATAAAAGCAGACTTGAACCAGTCATTTGCTTCTCACATACCCCAGATACAAAAACATGAGAAGGATAAACCAACAGAGCCACCAAAGACAACCGCTCCCCAACTAACAACAGAGAGGCCATTAAGAGATTCCTTTCTAAAAGTACTCAGGGAGTTTTCTTCCATGAAATGACTAATGTGGGGATGTTGTGCATGACTGCACACGTATAGCCTGTATCAGATTTCTTACCCTCTCAAGGATGGAGGACAGGAAGGGAAGGACAGAATCTGGAACTCCAAACTTAAAAACAACAAATGTTGAAAATTATTTTTACATGAAATTAGGAAAAAATAAATATTAACAAATAAAATTTTTTAAAAGTACTCCAGGATAAAAGATGAAAGCAGAAGGCAAACAGAAGTTATAGTGGAGAAACAGGCCTGAAACACCCTGGACTAAAGCTCACATCTTGCTTAACGGTGAATCAATGCCTTTGTGAAACCACATAATAGAAGAAGGGAGCACCTAAAGGGGGAGAGGAGAGAAGGAGATAGAGGCAATGGATGATACACCCTGATCGAGTCAGGGTTTGACAATGAGAGGGCAATAATTCCTACAGTCTCTCAGAAAGATGAGATGTTCCAGGGAGGGAGAGAAATCAGACGGGGACCAGACAACAGATATAATCTACTCTTGTCTCAGGAGAAGGGATCACGGAACTTGGGGGTCACTGACACCCAAAGGGAGGAAGTTCATGGGGGGAGGGGTCGAGGGGAGATGACCGAGTAGAGTGCCAAGGTCGATAACAAAGTGCACGGGGCAATGACAGCCTCTCCGTCATCTGCAGGACCTACAAGAGAGGGAGAGAGCCAGGAGGCAAGATGTACATGGCAGTAACGTGGAAATGATTCTGAAGGAGGAACTTGAAACAGATTCCTGAGAAGCTTTCAATTCCACGAATGTGACCAAAGAATTCTGTACTATAAAAAAAAATGACAAATGGGATGAACACAGAGAAGCGAGGGGAAATGTCCACGAACCGATCCAGAGCAAAGCAAGCAGAGGCAAGAGAACAATACGCAGCTGGATCCGGATTAGTGTCAATGACAAATCTGGGAAAGTGGTCGTTTTACCATCTGAAATCGTAACCATGTGTAACATGTAGTCACTTGTTCCAGCCCAACAGAACTACAGGATGAATTTTTTATAATAAAGTTCAAATCTAATTATTAATGTAATAGAACAGGAAAGAATAAGAAAATGTATTTCTGATTCATGTTTATTATACAGTAATAGAGTAGGTTTAGCAAGCAAAAATTTAAAAATTAAAAACTTACTGAATAATAATATCTAAAGATGAGCCTGCACTGATGATATGATAAAAAACAGTATTATCATCATCATGATTGAAAAGATTTTAGCAGCATAGACTGAACTGTCTCCTCTTTTCCTAAATCTTCATACCTACGGTGGGAGGAACAGAGAGTTTTAAACACATCTCCTCAAATCCTCATGAATGGTCACACTCCCACACACAACACCAAGTGTAGTTGGATGATCTGGGGCATTGCCTGAAAATCAATAGTGCTTAAATGCAACATGACTGGACTTGCATTATTTTTCAAGCACTGGGCTAAAATAACTCAAAAATCAGTCTTCAAAAATAGCTTTTGGTCACCCATGCTTCCTTATTTGATCAGTAAAAAACTGGAGGCGAAGGATGGTTGTAGCCTCTCAGGGCAGAAGGATTTTGAGACTAATAAACAGGCACTGGTCTTCATTTTAAATCCCCTTCTGCATTACCTCCTTACAGTAAACGTGTTAGAAGATCCTTGAACACTATAAATCCAGGACGAGCTTTCTCTTTCTTAGAAACATAAGCAGCCCGTCATTCAGTGGCAACCAAACCTCCCTCACTCAGGTGCGTGACAAAGGTATCAAACCCATTGCATCCTTTTTCAGAATAAGCCTGCTTCATCCACATCAAAACTTTGCTGATCAGCGTCTCACTATCATCGTCACACCTCTATTTCTTGTAATTGTTTACAAATCTGATGCCACTCAGGCCTCTTCTCTCGTTTCGCCCATGTGCTTGATGACATTCCACACCACATTCGTGCCAATCAATCCCACCAGATTTCATCCAAATACAGTAACGAGCTGCTTCTTCTTTGCCCTGGCACTGTTTCCATCTGAAGTAGTCTTCCTTTGGTCCATTTTTCAAGGTCTCCTTTTTGAAAAGTTAACACAACTGCAGGTAACAGAGCAGGCAGCAGCACAGCACATCCCTCCACACCTGATGTGGGCAAGTGCAGATCACCAATGCAGGGGGCCTCAAAACTCTCAACAAGTGTACACGCATGTCATTAATTGCATTTTGGATTGCTTTACATGAGATGTATTGTTTTATAATTTCACTAAATTGAATTCTGCATTATTCAAGCTCCCATTAATCACAACTAGCTGTGCATAACGTAAACAAAGAAAAGGTCAACCACAAAAAGTCAAAAGTCAATGTTTCAAAATAATAAAAAATCAGCATGGCTGGAAGAAAGAGACAGAAGACATCCACACCCCACCCTGTGTAGAGGTGAGAGGCTCACCAGCATCACACAAGGCACACGTTTTTAGGCTGTTTTCAATGCACTAATCAGTTATGCTGATTTTTTTATTTTGTTGTTGTGGTTCTTGTTGTTATCTTTAGATGGGAAGACTCCCCAGGGAAAATTATGGTGATTTTTTAAAAAGACAACAATAAAAACTTATTTTTAAAAAAAGGACACAGAAAGATTCTACTTACCTTAGTACCGATAATAGGGACTCTTCTAATGATTCTAAAAAACTTCTTTTTGGCCCTTGAAAACAAGCCTGAAAGAAGCAGAAAGGCCATGAGTCAGCAGCTTCCAAACCTCCCCCACTCAGGCATCAAAGTCACAGCAGCACAGAACTCCCCGAGGAAGACAGAACCAGGGAAGATGGAGTTGGAAAACGTCTAACAAAATTTTAAAAGTACAACATGTGAATTTGTGGTTTTCTAAGTCTGCAAGCAGCCAGACCACAGCTCGACACCAGTGGTACACAGCTTCTGGTGGTTTCCCTCGCCCTCAGGGCCCTGCTACCAGCTTTACTTCCAGTTTCTCCAAACCTCCACCCAACCTCCACTTGCCCCAACAAGAAACTTCCAATTCATGATGTCTTTTGACAGACTCTACCCCCCTGTTCTTCAACAACAACACTTTGGCGGAAATTTCTGGCCCCCAGTACTCCCTAGTAATCACGGAGGCCCACCAAATCCCACAGAGGACAGTACAGAAAGTACGTAAGACCACAGTGTCTTCCTGCTTTCTCACAGGTCGTTGTCTTCCAAACCATCAAGTGAAACGGATTTGTTTTTCAGTCACCCTTCCTGACACCCTCTTTGCAGCCTCGGACGCTGCTGACCAAACTCCCTCGCACTCTCCTTCTCCCTTAGATTCAGCACCGCTCTACTCTCCTGTTTCTCTCTCCCTACCTGCAACACTTCCTTCTTTTCTTTGCTGCCTCTTCATCCCCTTCCTAACTCTTTAAGGAAAATGCCCTCCTTCTCTCCATGCTCATCCTTAGTAAACTCACTCCTTCATTCCTACACCTCCAACTCACCCCACACACTGCCTACAACACACTGACCTTGATGCTCCCAAAGCCGATATCCGCTTTGGACCTCACTACTTCTGAACCTTGATGTCATCTTTGACTGGCCCCTTTCGTTGCTCCTGAGTAGTGGCCCCTCCCAACCCTCCTCCTCCACATACCTACCAAAATAACCTTCCGAAAACACCGACCTCACAGTGTCAGTGCCCAGCTCAAGGACTTTCTCTTGCCTTTAGGATACCAACTCTTCAGCCTGGCATTTCAAGACTTCAGAACCAAGCTCCAGCCCACATTTCCAGAACTGCTTTTACCTTTCTCCCTTTCCCGCCTATTCCAGGAAAACCAGTCCATTTGCCATTGCACAAATTCATCATTCTTCTCACACTCGTGCAAGGGTTATCCACTGCCTACAATACATTCCCTCCTCGCCTCTACCTCTCAGATCCCAGAGATTCCTCCAAGAACCAGCTCAGGCACTTCTTCTGATCTTCTCATCGCTGACTAGTTCTCTCTCTCTCTCTCTCTCTCCTCAACGTCCGATGTTTTTTATCCAAATGTTTATATGTTGGATCTCTCCGGAAGAATAAAAGCGTCCTGAGAAGGGTGTTTCTGTTCCCCTCTCACCCCAAGGGATGCCCTGCATCCTAACACACTTCATAAATGCCTCCTTTCTCATAGCTACTCAGCCACCCGTCCTGTTCCCTAAATCACCAACTGCTTGGGTATGTCTGACCAAACAGCCTATACATACCTCATACTTAACAGCATCCAAACAGAATTTATTGCCTTATCTCGTCTTCATCCTTACAACAACCCTGGGAGGTAAGTGCTATTGTTATCATCATTTTACCAATGAGGAAATGGAGACAAGCAAAGGTGAAGTGACTTGCCCAGGGTCACACAGCTAGGCTGTGTCTGAGGCTGGATTTGAACTCAGGTCTTCTTGACTCAAGGCCCAGTGCTCTGTGCACTGTGGCTCCCCCCATCTCCCCTAGTCTATCTGCTGGAAGAGGAGAGGGTCTTCAGCAACCTCAGATGCAGCAGAGAGGCTGAAAAGCAGGATGCTTTGGTTTGCATCTGGTTTGTCAATAAGGACGTTTTCTAAAACAATTCTAGGTGACCTCGAGAGGCTTCGAGACTCACTTCTGATTCTGGGTTTGTGACTTTGAGTCTGTGTGAACAGTTTCTCATCAGTAAGTATGTGAATCAGTGAATCACAAAGCATTTATTGAGCGGGCGCTGCCAAGCACTGGGCTGAGTTGCAGAGGCTACCCCTGCCCTCAAGGAGCTCCCCTTCAGATGAGTGAGAAGCACAGCGAGGCACATGTAAGATACATGTATACACAGAGGGGAAGGGACGAGGGTACTGGAAAAGGCCTCCTGCAGGGGGATGAGCTTGGACTGAGCCTTGGAGGAAGCCAGAGAAGCTGAAGGTAGGGATGAAAGAGCAGACAGTTCCAGGCATGCGGCTCAGCCAGTGCAAAGGTCTGCTGTCAGGAGATGGAGGGTCATGTATTAGGAACAGCAGGGAGGCCAATGTGGTCAGATCTTTGAGTACTCAGAGGGGAGCAAAGTGTTGCATGTCCAATTCATTGATTTGCTCTCTTTTATTGATGTACACATTTAGAGATATAAATTTTCCTCTAATTACTGCTTTGAATGTATCCCACAAATTTTGAAACGCTGTCTCATTTTTGTCATTCTCTTTAATGAAATTATTGATTGTTTCTATGATTTGTTCTTTGACCCATTCTTTAGGATTAGATTACTTAGTTTTGTTTTTTGGGGTTTTTGAGAGGCAATTGGGGTTAAGTGACTTGCCTAGGGTCACACAGCTAGTAAGTGTCAAGTGTCTGGTCTGCTTAATTTTCAATTAATTTTTAATCTATGCTTCCATGGCCCTTTGTTGAATGTAATTTTTATTGCATTATGGTCTGAAAAGGGTGCATTTAATATTTCTGCTTTTCTGCATTTCGTTGTGCGATTTTATGCCCTAATAGAGTGTCAATTTTTGCAAAGGTGCCATGTACCTCTGAAAAGAAGGTACACTCCTTTCTATTCTCATTCAGCTTTCTCCAGGGGTCTATCAGATCTAACTTTTCCAAGATTCTATTCATTACCTTAACTTCTTTCTTAAGTTTCTTTTATGGTTATATTACTCCAGTTCTGAGAGAGGAAAGTTGAGGTCCCACACTAGTATAGTTGTACTGTCTATTTCCTCCTATAATTCATTTACATTTTCCTTTAAGAATTCGGATGCTCAATTGAGGATTGACTGAACAAGTTGTTGCATGTGATTGTGATAGAATATATTGTAATATAATAAATGATGAGCAGGATGCTCTCAGAAAAACCCGGAAAAACCTACATGAACTGATACAAAGTGAAATGAGCAGAACCAGGAGAACACTGTACACGGCAACAGCAACACTGTGCAATGACCAACTTTGACAGACTTAGCTATTCTCAGCAATACAATGATCCAAGCCGACTCTGAATGATTTATGATGAAAAATGCTATCCATCTCCAGAAAAAGAACTAATAAAAGTCTGAATGGAGATCAAAGTGTGCTTTTTCTTTATTTTTCTTGGTTTTTTGTCAGTGTTTTCTTTCACAACATGACTAACACAGAAATATATTTTGCATGACTGCATATGTATAACCTATATCAAATTGCTTGCCTTCTCAATGGAGGGCAGGGCAGAAAAGAGGGAGGAAGAGAATTTGGAACTCAAAAATTTTTACAAACAAATGTTAAAAAATTATTTTACATGCAATAGGGGAAAAACAAAATTTTAAATTAAAAAAAAGTAATTTGGATGCTATGCCATTTGGTGCATATACACTTAGCACTGATATTACTTCACTGTCTATGGTACCTTTTAGCAAGATGTAGTTTCCCTGCTTATCCCTTTTAATTAGATCTATTTTTGCTTTTACTTTGCCTGAGATCATGATTGCTAACCCGTCTTTTTCCCTTCAGTTGAAACATAATAGATTCTGCTCTAGCCCTTTAGTTTAATTCTGTGTGATTCTCTGTTTCAAGTGTGTTTCTTGCAAACAACATATTATTGGCTTCTGGTTTCTAATCCATTCTGCTATCTGCTTCCATTTTATAAAAGAGTTCATCCTATTCATATTCACAGCTATAATTATTAACTGGGCATTTCCCTCTATCTTATTTTCTTCTGTTTATTGTTCTCTCTCTCTCTCTTTTTATCCTGCCTCTCCTCTAAAGTCTGTGTCACTTCTGACCACTGCCTCCCTTAATCCATACTCCCTTTTATTACCTCCTCTTTTTCTTATCCCCTTCCCCTCCTATTCCCCTGCTAAGTAATACAGATTTCTATTACCAATCGGGTATGTATAATTTTTCCTTTCTTTGAACTAATTTAGATGTGAGATTTGAGCATTGACTGTTCCACCTCCACCATCTTCCCCTCCACTATAAAAGTTCTCCCGTGTATACCTCTTTTGTGTGAGATAATTTTCCCTATTCTTCATTTCCCTTCCCTCTTCTCACAGGGCACCCCCTCTTTCTCACCTATCCATTTTTTCACATCATTTCAACATAACTGACTCATGTCTGTGCCTTCTTTCTACATAGAATCCTTTTTTTTTAATATAAATTTATTTATTTTTAGTTTTCATCTAAACCCCATCTCCTCCCTCCCCAAGATGATGCACAATCTGATATAAGGCTATACATATGCATTTCTATTAAACATATTTTCACATTAGTCATGTGGTAAGGAAGAATTAGAACCAATAGGAGGAACCACCAGAAATTCACAAAACAAAACAGAAGGGGAAAAAAAAAGCAAATAGTAGGCTTCAATCTGCATTCAAACTCCATAGTTCTTTCTTTGGATGTGGATAGCATTTTCCATCATGAGACTTTTAGAGATGTCTTAAATCTTTGCATTGCTGAGAAGAGCTAAGTCTGTCAAAGTTAGTCATCACATTACATGGCTGTTACTGTGTACAGCATTCTCCTGGTTCTGCTCACTTCACTCAGCATCAGAGCATACAAGTCTTTCCAGGTTTTTCTGAAGTCAGCCTGTTCATCATTTCTTATAGCACAATAGTATTCCATTACATTCATATACCACAACTTGTTCAGCCATTCCCCAATTGATGGGCATTCTCTCAATTTCCAATTCTTTGCCACCACAAAAAGAGCTGCTATAAATATTTTTATACATGTGGGTCATTTTCCCATTTTTATCATCTCTTT